CGCCCCCGCCGAGGGAGGCGACGGGGCCCCCAGACCTCACCTCAGGGGTCCAGCCCCTGGGCCGGGGAGGGAGCTTAGAAAGTCTCTGAATTGGTTGGGGGGGAGCCCGAGGAAAGGTTGGCAATTCCCTCTTCCCCCTACGACGGTTTGAGAAGGAGGCAAAGGTCCTTTTATTGAAATAAAATAAGTATAAAGTTGGCCAGCCTCTCTGCTGTTGCTCTTTCCTGTGAGTCGAAGCGTTTTGGTCCCGTGCGCCGGGGCTGGGGCTGCACATGCACTCCTGAGCCCGGCACAGCCTCCCGCTGCTACCCGGCCCTATTTCGTGTCTTTATTGCGCATCTCCGTTTGAAATGCTCTTTGGAGGGGATTCTGTGGCGTGATTGACCCCATCCCCAGACCTCCTAGATGCCTGGAGAGCGACCTGATCGGTCCCCGTCGTCTAGTGCAGCACCTGGGCTCAGTCACTGTCTCCGCTCTGAAGCGGAACGAAATGACTTTCCAGCGACGGAGAAGCCCCTTCGGCCCCATCTCTGCGCTCACGCCTGGGAGCTCACCCCGGTCCTGACTCCCCACCGCGGCAAGGCGCTCCGGGATGGCCCTGCCGTCAGGGAGCCAACTGTGTGTTTCCCGGGGGTTGTCCCTGGAACGGGACCTGGCAAGTCCCAGACGGGGGGAATGGAAGCCAAGGGCTTAGGTGGGAATGTGGTGGCCCAGCGCTGACCGGACTTCGCAAATGGGAACTCGGAAGCTGCCCGGAGCGGCTGTGCCAACTCTGCGCTCCGCCCGACAGTTCTCCCTGCCCCAGGAGACGCTGGTGGGCAGCGGGACCCGCAGAAATCTGCTCATCTGCCCCTGCCGACGTGCCCCGGTGTCTCTGTAGACACTCCGGGGGCGCAGGCGCCATTTGGCCCTGATCGGTCCCCCAAACCCTGGCCGCAGGCGCAGCCACCTGAGCGCCGTCCTGAGATAGCAAAGTAGCCCGGGAATTGGACCCCAACGCGGCTCGGTGCATTTCTCCAGACGTTTGCACGGGTCTCGTTCTCAGATGAGCCATCCCTCCTTCCTTTTTGCCAGGCCGCGCCTCCTCTTGCTCCCTCGGGGATTGGGCCGGGTTTTCCTCCCGATCCTGGGTCCCAGAGGGAGAACGACCTCCGGGAGGTGGAGGAGCCTTTCCTGGCAGCGGCTCAGCGTGAACCAACTGCGCCACCTGCCGGCCATCCTCGGGAGTGCGCGGCCCCCGCTGAAGGGCGAGCGGACAAAGACCGCAACGCGCAACTGGCATCCCACAGAAAGGAGAAAGGAGGTACGTGGGTGCGGTATCTTTTCATCTACCCGTCCATTTCTGGCGCACCCAGCCGCCGCTAGGTGTAGTGGCTGGCGGCGGAGAGGACCCGGTAGTTCTGTCCTGTCGCGCTTCTAGCCAACGGATTACGGAATCGGAAAAACATTTCCAAGAGAAGCTCACAGTCAACATCCCGGGGTTGCCTGAGTACTTGCTGTCCCCCCAAAGGAATCCTAGATAACTAACAGGGGAGGGGTGTGAGTCAATGCGGAGGAAAGAGCAGATTGCGGCCACGATTTCAGGTCATTGGCCTCCGTAGCACATCGTGTCTCCTCCGTGACTCACTCGTGCAAACTCAGACCCGGGCTAACAAGATGGGCAACTTTTACCGGAGCGCGCTCGGCGAGGCGCTGGGCAGGAGCTGTGAGCCCGTGGACAAGAGAGAGGGAGACAGCTTGCGCAGCTCCAGGCATTTTGGCGTCTCAGTACAAGACCTGCTGAAATGTCACAGTCTGAGGATGTGGATCTCAGTTATTGTAGCTGCTGCTTTCACAGGAGTAAAAAGGGGGGAAATGCACACGGGGAATATATACGTATGTGCGTATATAAATTATTTAAAGGAAATGTCCGAATTCCTTTAAGGAATGCGTTTCTATGTTCTTTCATGTGTCCTCCTGGGTTTTGGGGAAAGGAAGATGAGTATTGGTTTCTGTCATTTGGCACACAGACTCAGAAGGGAAAAGAGCCATCTGAATTCCGTCTAAAACATTTTAAATAGTAGCTAGTTGCCTCTTTGCAAGAATCTGAGTTTTGCATGTATGCGTGGTTGAAATGGAAAATTAACTGCCTGCCTCCTTAAAAACAGTAAAATTTCTAAAACATGTACCATCCACCCTTTCCCCTCCCCCCTCCCTCCCCCATACCCCCCATATACACTCTGAATATTAAACAAAGGCTTCCCTTGCCACAGCTGCCTGAAACAAGGCTCATTTGCTAGGGCACATTCAGTGACTTCCCCTTTTTTCTTCCGATTTTTCTTCCCTTATCCCTTTTTAGGCTTTAGAGCAGCCCGATAATCTGGGCAGCCACGAGGCTGGAAATGCTAACTCGGAAAAACTGAACTGCAACTTCCTCTTGAAAGCATTTCTGGGCGGAGATCAGAAATGAGCTGGTGAAAATTCTTCTGTCCATTCTGACTACCTGGGGACAAATGTTCTAATGGAACACACGGCATTATTCCTAAAAATAGGGTAACAATGAAAATATGATGGTGGCCCTGGTGCACCATCAAATGCAGAACCTCCCACTTTATTGGGAAACTCTGAGGACTTTTCAAACATTTGAGAGCATTTACTACAAATCAATTGTCCAGTGAAGTCATAAGCATGCAACAGAATACCACACTTTCAAACAGTATCTAAATCACCTACTTTTAAGATAAATTAGCTTGACTCTTGAGTAAAAATGTCCTCCTCCCCCAACTGCTGTAAGAATTTGGGGTCTTCTTGAGTCCATTAAGAGACATGTCAAAATATATATGCTCATAAGCTTAAGAACATAGTAAATAATTTTCAAATTTTTCTTTTTGTACAGTACCTATAACAAAGACTTGAGCTGCAAAGTATATTTTAAATGCTAAGTTGAATTAAAGTTGAATTTTAAAGGCATTTCTAAATTCTAAAGACATTTTAAAATAGCACCAAGTCTCCCAGACTTTTCCCCATGAAGTGGAGGGCCACTTTCAGCAAAGTGGTGAGGAAAGGGCCTTTGACCTGTGAGCAAATAAGCAATGATTAAGAGAATGCATGGAAGATGGGAGAGAGGGTGAGAATGAGATGAACCCACTCTGCCAGAATTTTTAGCTAATTTAGATGGACTTCAGTCTTTTTTCCTTTTTCTTTTTTTTAACCAATAAAAAGGAGCCTCCAGTGTCATTGCCAGAATCAGGGTTTTTAAGACAGACATCCCTGGTTTAATTTGTGATAGGTCTTTTACTAGCTGTGTGTCTTTGGGTAAGGTACCTAACCTTTTTGAGATATGGTTTCTTCATCTGTGAACTGTAGTTGTTATGTGATTCTTCTAAAAATGGAATGAATTTTGAAGAGCATTAGAGTATAGTGTCTGACATATGGTAGGTAGGTAGTTATTACTATGAAATATTACTCTTAAGTAAAATTTTATTAAGGTTTATTTAATAGTTAATTATTTAATATTAATCATTTATATTATCCATTTAGCATTAACATTTTAATTTTATAAATAATTTACTCAGCTTGAATCATCCCTACCACAAGGAAACTAGGCACTGTGATGAACCTTGTGTACTCCATGAGAAGAGAATGCTTTATTTCATCACCTCCTAGAGCAGGGGAGGAAATGAATTATAAATTCTTCCCTTCTCTCATTGTTCATACTCAACTCACATTACTAGATGACTCAACTGGATTCAAACGTAGGGATTGCATCTGTCTCCAAAAATAGTAGTCTCAAAAATAATTAAGTGGAACAAGATGTGAGCAATCAAAATTCCCACAGCCAAGTCTAATATCGGTGGTAATAAGTAACCAAAGCTTTGCCTGATGAAATGCTCACCTTTGTCAGAAACAAACAAACAAAAGAATGCTCCCAATCATAAGATTGTCACCTGACATATAGCAACCCAGAAAAACATTTGCTGGGCTTCCCAAAGCTCCCAGGGGGGCCTGTTGCAGATCTCATCCTTTAGTGTGAAGGCTTTGATGTGATTTCTTTGCAAAGAAGCAGTGCTCTTGTTAGGCCTTTCCACCTGAGTGGGAAAGATGGCCACAGAGCTCAGGTCTTGATGAATCAGCAAGATGAGAGCAAGACATGGGAAGAGTCTTTTGGAGTCACTGAGATGGAAAAGGACAAGAAAGAAAGGTTGGGGGTCTCAAGGGAGCAAGACTTTTTTGAAACGCTGGTACTGTTCCTAAAGTTTAGTTCAGTTCTAACAAACATTTCTCAAGCACCTACTATGTGCCAAGCAGCACGTTTAAGATGTCAAAGGTTTCTTCCCACCCTTGACCAGGCATGACACCCACCACAAGGGGATGTGAGAGCTGAGTACAAACCATGAGGAAACTTTCATTCTCCTGGAGACTGGGAGAGGGAGGAAGAGAAAGAGGAAGACACTCATTTTAGTCCTGCAAAACTCCAGATCCCTAGAATTAAACAGTTTGTAGAGATGATGAAACTTTCTCAGGGGGAATTCAGAGGAGATCATGTTCATGGTTTTGGCTGCATTGGGAATGTGAGTTAAATATCAAAACTGCTTTATTTTTTATGCATGAAAGCCATGCCTCCAAAGAAATGTAAAATGCTTTTTACTTGGAAGCCTTCAATACAGCATTTGTTAAGTGATCTCCACTCATTCTAACTCCAAATACCTACATAAACCTTCAAGTTACAGCTATTCAATATTTTAGCCATTAAATACCTTACTATGTAATAGCTATGTTGATTTATGATCATTAAGAGAGCTTTTGAAATTACAATTGTTTATGCTGAAAAAACTAATGATACTATATAGGAATAACATAAACTGGTACAATTTTTAAACCATTTTTAAAAGAAATAATTATTTGGTTAAAGAACCAATTTATGAAA